CGTTGATGTTGTTGTTGACGTTGTTGTTGATGTTGATGTTGTTGATGTTGTTGTTGTTGTAGTGGAATCGCTATCAAAAAATTCTCGTTTCAGCAATTTTTTTCTCGCAATCTTATCGGCTAAAGCTTTCAGTATTTTGTGGGATGTCGTTGATGTAGCGACTGCTGCTGCTGCTGTGGCTGTTGTCGTCGTTGTTGATGATGATGATAAGGAGAAGAAGGAAGAAGAAGAAAAAGAAGATGATGATGAAAACGGTGATGATAGCGATGATTTCATCGAAAGGTTATTGTTATGAGTATAATAAGGATTCTTTCTCTGGTTCATAGAAAACTCTGATGATGACGTTGACAATTGTGACGGTGGTGATGATGGGAATAATAATGACGTCATTGTTGTAGATGCTGATGAAGCTGCTGCGGCTGCTGCTGTAGCTGATGATGATGATGATGATAAGGGTTCTAGTGTTATTATTGTCTGCCAATACACATTGTCATTATCCGAAGCTATATTGGAAAATATCGTTTGGGGATATGAGATGTTATTTGACAACGATGATGATGAAGATGTCATTGTTGTTGTTGCTGTTGCTGCTGTTGCTGCTACTGCAGCTACTACAGCAGCTGCTGTTTCTAATGATGCTGACGTTGAATAAGATTCGAGAAATGAAAACATCGATGCAGATTCTAATGAAATTGAAGATGCAGTAGTGTTTGTTGTCACTGATGATGATGACGAAGAAGATGATGATGACGATGATGATAATGATGACGATGATGATAATGATGACGACGACGCGTGACTTTGCACTGCTGAATCGTGAATAAAGACGTCGTTAGCTTTTTTATTGCAAACAAATATCCTATTTATATTAACAACTCTCTCACTATTATAATTATAATTATAATTTATATTATTATTATTATACTTATTATTATTATTATTATTAGTAGTAGTAGTAGTAGTAGTAGTAGCAGTAGTAGTAGTAGCAGCAGCACCAGCAGTAGTAGTATAAATGATAGGAATCGTAGTAAAATAATAATCGTTAGTAGTAGCATAGATACCTTTGTTAAAATAATTATTGTTATTAATGTTATCATCATTATTATTATTATTATTATTGTTGTTGTTGTTATTATTATTATTGCAAATATTATTACAAGCGCTGCTAATTGTTTTATTAACGTCATCATCATCATAATTTTCGTCGTGTTCATCAACGTAGTCGTCGTCTTCTTCAATTTTGTTAAGCAGGTCGAAATCTACTAGTGAGAGATCTAGAATATTTGTGAAGGTTTCGTCGTCGTTGTTTTTGTTGCTGATGTGGCTAATGTCGTTGAAGTGGCTGCTGTGGCTGCTGTGGTTGATGTGGCTGCTGTGGTTGATGTGGCTGCTGTGGTTGATGTAGTCGCTGTTGTTGTCGTCGATGTTAACGCTCATGCCACATAAATCGTAATCTATGTTGTAGTCATTGCTAGTGATATCGTCATTGTTGATGAAATAGTGATGATGATGTTGTTGTTGTTGTTGTTGTTGTTGATGATGATGATGATGATGATGAGAGAGATGCTGATGATAAGAAGGGGGAGGACGATCATGATGATGATGACCATTTTCGTAGTCATAATTTGGTTGAAATGAAGATTGCAGCTGTTGAGGTTCTTGTTGAAGTAGTAATAGATTTTGTTGTTGTTGATGTTGTTGTTGATGTTGCTGATGACCTAGTTGTTGCTGCTGCTGTTGTTGTTGCTGCAATAGCGGTTGTTGAAGTTGGAATATCATATTAACTGTTGAAAAACCAGCCACTTATTTAACAACTTTAATGTAAAATATAAATCATACACTCAATAATTATTTAGTAAGAGTAGTTGTAACAAATAGCAAGTAGTAATCAAAGTAGCAGTGAAAATAGTAGTAGTAGTAGCAGCAGTAGAAGTAGCAGCAGCAGTAGAAGAAGCAGCAGCAGTGGTAGTAGTAGCAGCAACAGTGGTAGTAGTAGCAGCAACAATAGCAGCACAAGAATTTTCTAGAGAAGAAAGAATTTACTTACAATTAGAATCAAATGAACTTTAAACAACATGTGCTTGCTTGACTAATTGCTTACAGGATTAAAAACTTCTTAAATAGTCGTCTGACAAATTATGTATGTATATGAATATATATACATATATATATATTTAATAATTACGTAATATATAATATATATAATATAATTTATATATTTATAGATAATATAATTTTTCATTAAAAATACATCGTGAGACATGCACTGTCTGTCAAACCGCAAATGCGCTAATTCATTGTTTGAAGTTTAAGAAAGTTGTAGAAGCATTGTTATGTATGTATGTATGTATGTATGTATGTATGTATGTATGTATGTGTGTATGTATGTATGTATGTGTGTGTGAGTGTATGAATGTATGTATGTGTGTATGTATGTCCCAACCAACTAAAAATTAGTATAGACTCTTTTTTAGCGTAGGAAGGAGTTGAATTAGAACGCTAATAATAATAATAAGAAGAATAATAATATCAATAATGAAGATAGCAGTAGCAACATCAATACTTGTTATTTTTATTATTATTCTTTTTTATAATTATTATTAAAGTTTTTTTAATTTTTTTTTTCTGAACATTTAAATCGTTGATCATTTCGAATGAGTTTAGGTTAGGAATAAGTA